TCAGCCACAACCACCAACAACTGCTAGACCACAACCTACAACCACAGCTCAGCCACAACCACCAACAACAGCTAGACCACAACCACCAACCACATCTCAACCAGAGTCACAAACAACAAATAGACCGCATCCTCCAACCACAGTTAAACCTAGACCCACAACAACAGCTGGACCACAAACATCAACTACACCTGTACCAAGTAAGTTATCAGCTTGCATTTCCTTATTTAGAAAAAAATCATAATTAAAATGAATTGGGTTTTCTATTATCTATACTTGAAACCTCAGATGTTAGACACCAGTGGCAAAACTTGTATAGACGATTTTTGTTTTAATTTTAAGCTCATTACCATACCCTGTCTCTACCTTTCTGTCTATCTCTCTAGCACCCTCCTGCCCAAAGAACAGTCATTACGCCACTTGTATCCCTGCCTGCAGGCCCACTTGTACATACCTGAATGGCCCACCACATTGCAGTGACAAGGAGGATTGTATGCAGGGATGTGTATGTAATGAAGGCTTTGTGCAGAAAGGGAGGGTTTGTGTGCCTATCCAACAATGTGGATGTGTGGACAGGAATGGCAACAAACATCAGGTGAGTGACTCCTTATCAATGACAAGAGACATATACAGTTTTGATTTTCAAATACATACATACATACATACTACTTTCTGAAAGCGTGAACATGCACATGGATATTGAAATCCAAGCAGTATGATGACTCACTCTTTCCTTCTAGTTCAATGAAGAGTGGTACACCAATCACTGCAGTCAGAAATGTGAATGTGAGAAAGACCATGGTGTGGGGAAGATTGACTGCGATGACAAAGATGGGTGCGATAGAAACGCTGTCTGCCTTCAAAATGACGAGGGCAATTATGACTGCCAGTCTGCAGGTGCTGTAAATGCCAATATTTAACTTTGTGATGTATCTAGACCATGGTACAGCCTATTTACTATTTTAATTTAATAATTGCTTTACCCTTGTTGCTCCGCAGGCTTCAATGAGTGCACTATCAAAAGAGAGTACAGAACCTTTGACAAAATGAAGCATGACTTTGAGGGTGAGCACTCATATGTTCTAGTCCAGACCAAGAACTTGCCAAGTATCCTTCCAGATGTCTACATTGAGGGCATCAATACACGCACTGATGATGATGATAGTAGCAGTGAAGAAGACCACAGTCACAGAGTCAGGGATGAAGATGAAGATTATGATGAAGATTATGATGATAAACTTCGTCGTCATGACCACAGTGAAGAGCACAAGGAACACCACAGATTGCAGGAGCTTAAGATCAGAGTATACAATCACACTGTGGAGTTCAAGAAGAAACGAAGGCTGGTTGTGAGTATCAACAGCATTTTTACAACATTCATCTCATTTTCCTGTGGAACCTTTTCAGCAGACACAATATTGTCACATTTGTGAAAGCTCTGAGGCACATAAGCAGGAGGTGTTACAACAGCAGCGAGGCAGATGATGCACTATGTGCTAAATTATGGTCTGTCATATGTTATTCCCCTGCTTGCACTTTACACATATATGTGTGCGTGTATGAGAGAGAGAAAGAGAGAGCGAGAGTGAGCATGTTAAAAAGCTGCAGTATTAATGTTATATTTATTCAGGAGTCAGATATTATGTGAGTATTGGGGTTGGATGATATGTTAAATTTCCCAACCGGCCACCGTCTGTCCAACAAACATCAAAGTAGTCGAAATAAGCCCTTAATTCACCACAGTTAGATGTGAAAATACACTGGCTGTAAAGCTGTTTTTCCCCTCACTTGTTTTTTGGCTCAGTGTGTGTACTGTGTCGCTGAACGTCTGTCACCGAGCGGCTCTCATTCTTTGGAGGCAGACCAATAAATTAGCAAAATAAAATGACAAAAATCCAATAGCTTTGTTAAATCTTCCAACCCTAGTGATTATCAATTTAAAAAGCAGTCTGAGCTTTTATTTTTAAAATTTTAAGAAGGCCGGCACACCTTAATATCCAAAGACCACTGATACTCAAGACTTACCATTGCCATCCCTTGAGCCATGCTAAAAATTACTAAAAATGTGTCAAATGCCACAATTACTAGATCAGGCATGTCATATTGAACATGATGAACTGCACTGACACATCCCCCTCTTTAACTCCCTCCAGGTGGATGGCAGGATAACTAATACTCCTGTCTCACCTACTGCCGGTGTAACCATCCGGGAGCGTTCTTCTCGCATCTACCTGAAGACGGACTTTGGACTCTCAGTGGAGTTTGATGGACACAGCACAGCAGGTAACTGTTCTTCACTTCATTAAATAATTTAGCGTTAGCAGGAGTCCTGGAACTTACAGGATTTATAACAAATCCTTGAAATCTCAATGTATCATTCCATCCCATCCCATGTCAATTATTTTATTTTCTAGATAGTTATACAATTAATAAATTGACATTGTATTGTTGATTTTGTTCCTGCAGAGATCATTCTACCACGTATATATAAGAGAAAGGTGGGGGGCCTGTGTGGGAACTTTGACGGTAATAGCCGGAATGACTGGATAAAGCCTGATGGAACCAGAGCCAGGAGTGTTCAGGAGTTTGGAGAGAGCTGGAGAGTGTGAATATCAGATGGCTGTAAGGATGAGACATGGCACTCAAAAATACCCTGTAGAGGTTTTGACCACTAGTAGAAACATTACTTTGGCAGTTTACAAGAAAAGTCCACACTGATAATATCTGTCACCTTGTAAAATAAGAACAGAATGAATGCAGATTTTGTTTCTTCTTCGACAACACACCCAATCCCAATAGTTACTTGGTACTTTTTGTTTTGTTTTGTTTTTGTTTTCCACCTCCAGCTTTTCAGGCCAATAAATACAGTTAAATAACAAATTCTTGCTGTTATGAGTATAAGTATATATAAGTATATCATAGTAAAAAGACTTTGCTGCCTACTACTGCACTTGCATTATTATTATATGCGTTCTGCATGACTTCAAATGAATTATTTATCACTGTCTGACACTGTTGGAAATAAATTGAATGTGCAATAAATGATTATTCAAAATGTGGCTTGCACTTGGTCATAATGTGTATTTGAATGCCTGTGCATTGGTAGGTTTTCTTTTGAAACTTTTATGCAAATATGAAAATATGCACTGTGGTTAAATTTTTGTTGCCATTGGTCTAGTAATTTCCGTGTAACGACAATAGCATTCTTGACATATCTATGTCTAAGTCCATCCAAGTCTGAATGTGTAACCCATTATCTCTCTGTCGAAAAGAAAATAAAAACCATTACATTGCATCTGCAACATGATATTCTGTGTTTTTTCTGGCAGACAATAGGATTCTTTTTGTCAGGAGGGTACCTGTGAGCATGGGCGTTGGTAAATGTCTGTGATGTTCATGCGCATGTATAAATAAGCTGTGGTTACACTGAGTAGCCACACAGAGTCATGGATTGGTTTGCATTGTACTTCTTTGTCATGTTCGGGTTGCTACCCCTATATGTAGGTGAGTAAAACATTATCATATTTAAGTGATGGCACAAATATCTCAAAGTTCAAAAAGTTGTTTAACTGATAAAGAATTTAGGACAGAAGATACAACAAGGTTGATAAACAGTTACTTAACTAGCAAGCGTTATTTTTTTATTCTTTGACTTGATTGTAAAAAGTTAAGTCAAATGATAATTCAAATACTACATGCCTCAGCCGGTTGGAGAAATGTAGAACATAAACAGCATCTACCGGTTATCATATTACATGTTGGTGAGAGATAATTGATAAAAATTCATGCTACTACTGCATGAAAATTACCCTCATAAGAATGCAATTTAATGCAATGCTGTCAAGACAAAGAAGTAATTCCTTGAAAATTTTGATGAGTCGTTTGTGATCTTCTGTCAAACCTGTACTGTTCGATTTGGGATTAGCGAGGAAAGTTGACAAGGGTTATTTCAGTGTAGTTCTGAAATAGAGACCAAAACAGTCCACAGTCTTCAGTCACAGTTCTGTTAGCTTTGCTACAACATGCCTCCTTCACATGTGCATTTTAGTCCATTGTGCAGCTCTGTAAATGAGTGCAGGAGTTCAGGAATTATCAACAGGTTAAAGTCAGGTATTCAAATTAAGTTTAATATGAATTTCTTTTATTATAATTTTAGATTCCTTTTTGTTTCTTATATTATAGAGACTGGCCATGTCCCACTTTTGCTATTTGGGTGCAGGTAATGTGAGTGTGAAGGAATGTTTCTTTTATAATGGTAATTGACAACAATGTTTGGAAGATTTTTGAAGTGATAAGAAGTTTTTGAAAGTAAGTCGACCACTGAGAAAAAATCTAAGCAACACATTAATTTAACAGAATACACAAATGTAGTTATTGTTGAATCTACCCATGCCCTAATGTATGGATTCACACAGTCAGCGATCTTTTGTCTTTTGTGAAACTGTGTTGCTTTTAGCCTGAATTATGTATTTGACTTCCTAATTTTTCTTTAATAATCACTACTTTATTTGTAAAATATGCTTCTCTGGTGCAACTTGTCCATGCAAACACCGACCTTTTATGTGAACACACAGGAAATTGACATTCTCTGATTGTCCACTGTTGCTGCGGCAGACATTTCACTATGACATCCAAGCCAGTCTCTTTCTCTTTAATCTCGAGCCAGGCCTCAACTTAAATGTTGTTTTTCTGAAATTCCAATGAAATGACATGTCATTGTGCCTCTTCATTTTCTAGCTCAAACAACAACTACAAATACAGGTAATATCCACAAAAGCACCTCATACTCTATACTCTATACCCCTTCATCCAATGCCTACTCCAACACTCCTTTCATGTTTCTCAGCTGCATCCAACCAAGATGTTTTTAAACATTTTCACCACCTTCATTCTGTTTTAGAGTGACCCTTGCCAACCTATCCCTGGACGCTAACAGCTCTGCCAAGCAGCCACAAAAATGCTCACAAACCCCTCAATCTAGAGACTATTAGCTGCTACAACTATTACCATTACAACTACATTACTTGCTTTAGATACAATATTCTTATCTTTTATCACATTTCTATTTACATATTTATATTTATATTTTTTATTGTATGTATATCTTGTATAGTGTTATTAACAATAACAATACCATCATATCATCAGTACTATTACCACCATCTTGCAACTACAACTCTTTGCACCTTACCTACCTATTTATCTTTTTTATC